AGCCATCAGCTGCTCTTTTAGTGTCTAACAGAAGAAATCTATAACACCTGCACGTAATGGATTAGTAAGTAGGCCTTTCCTCTGTTCAAAACAACCCGCTAAAGCAAAGTGCCAACCAGAGCAAGTCATTTATTCTGTACCAAGTTACTGAAGACGTTTATTTGCACAAAGCTGGTTATTATATTTGGAGATCCCCAGATCTATTTTGTGCAAACGTGCAGTATCCTTTTGTTCCTGGTTCACTGTATTGAGAATTGTGAGATAATCTGATGGTGTTGTTATTTTTTACATAAAAAAATTAGTGAAGACAGGCTTTCAGGGGAGTTTATCCACTTTGCGTTTCTGTAGTTGGTAAATATAACTCCTACTCTTTAACCCCCAACTCCTCCTTCACAAAACTTCAGATTTGGTTCTGTAAAATGCCTTTTGGGTCAATTTTTGAATTTCACTTCCAGGCAATTGAACCAAATGTCACTCTCACTGGGGATTATTGGCATTTGGGCAGAGAAGGAGAAACAAGGAAGAAGGCAGGCAAGAGGGTTTTTGTTTTGCTTTGTTTTTTTTAAGGAGAAGAAAGCAGAGGAAACAGAGGAAACCTCAAGTGGTGGAAAATGACATTCCTCCACGTTGGGGAGGCAGTGATGAGCCTTGCAGAGAACTCGCCCTGGGCAGAGGGGAGCCATACAACCCTGTGGGTCAGGATGGACTTGAGGTATGTGTAGTGCAATTCCCAGAAGGTTCCCCAGCATGCAGTGACTGTGTCTGCATCTAAGGTGAGACTCAGGGTGCAGGTTTGGACCCCAGGGAAGCTCTGATGTCACTAAAGTGCCTTTTACAATCCTAGTAAACCACAACAAAAACTTAGCATGCTTTGGAAACTAGGGAGTGGAGGGAAGGCCTTCAAGGTGTCCCTCAGAAAAGGGACAGAAAGTGGAAACCACGGTGCCTCATTTAGGATGCACGAGACGTCATTTCATGTTCTCTCCACCTCCGTGCGTGTCAGTTTTTAAAATTTAGTCTTGCTGCACATACTAGAAACCATTGGTCTGTATTTCCTGCATCGTGGGGGGGGGCTAGGTTTAGTGGCTGCCAGATGCAGCCTTGTATTACATAAGTTATTCTTTTTCTATTCAATTTCAAACCTGTTGAGGTCTGGGAGAAACTTTGGATTTGGGATAATATGTCTAACACCTACTAAATTCCTATTTCAACAAGCCGAGGGTAGGCCTCTAACAAGAAGCCTTCAGGAGGCAAGGACCACAACTGGAATATAATCACATTGGTTAGTTGGTTTCACACTGTATTTGCTTTTAGATTACCTTCTATCTATGACAAGTGCTCCTGATTTTCAAAAGGACGGAAGATCAAGTCGTACACAGTTGGCTTTGCTGCAAACATGTTACCTTTTGCTTGGGGGGTGCTGGCCTGGAGGCAGTGAATTTGAGAAGAGGCAAGGCCCAGGTGTTGTTGGGTAGGTGATTTACAGAGGTTCTCTGCCAGGGGTGCCCCATCACATTCTCCGTGCTAAACAATGAACTGGATCCAGGTCAGTGAGAGTCTGCACTTCGGTTGGGGGTCAGGGCAGTGTCCCAAGAAGGTGCCAAAAGACAACCCAGGAGCTCCAGCCCCCCCAAAAAAGGAGTTAGTGGCCGCACCCGAGGCCACCTGTCCTGCCTCTCACCCAGCCTCATGCACACAGAGTGAGGAGAACAAACAGCTCACACAGGGATTCTCAAAACCCAACAAGAATATCAACCCAGGATTCACCAAATGTTTGTTTCGTGCAAGAAAGGTAAATGCATACTAGGAAGCAGTGAGTAGAGGAGACTAAGAGGATATTGGAAAAAGTATAATTAGAATTAAACATCATATCCATAAATAAAAGCCAGCAAGATCCTGGAAATTAAAATGTTTCATTATAGGAAAACCTCAGTAGGTTGGCTAAACAGCAGAATACAGCATTGAAAAACCTTTCATTAAAAGCTTAGGATTTCTCTCCCGTGACCCTTTAATTATTCCCCCAAAAAAATGAGTTACTTAAAGGGAGAGAGTTCAGCCATTAAATATATGTAAAATAGTCACAGAAGTTGACCATGTGTCAAGTCACAAATACATCTAAAATTTTTCAGTAAACAGAAATCACACAGATCTTAATCATTTACTGTAGTGCAGAAATTAATCAATTAATAAGTTATTAACAAGAAAAAAATAACAACAAAAGAGGCCAGGTGTGGTGGGGCATATCTATAATCCCAGCATTCAGGAGGCAGGAAGATCACTAGTTCAAGGCCAGCCTGGACCCTGTCTTCTCAAAGAAATGAAAGAAGAGGAGGAGGAGGAGAAGGAAAAGGAAGAGGAAGAAGAAAATTAACAAAATAAATTTAAAACCACACTTTTTAAATGATTCTTGGGTTGAAAAAGAAAGCAATTCAAGCTATTTTTAAATGAATAATAACAAGAGAACCATAGTGTGTGTGTATGAAACAAAGGAATAAAAAAAACCAGACCAGATAAAGTACTTAGAACACATTTACTCCAAAAGGCTTCCGAACTTAATGTACACAGAAGTCCTACAAACGATTAAAGAATGGGACGAATAGAAAGCTTACAAAAGTATATAGGTAAACAGTTTACAGCAAGATAAATACAAATGGCTTTTTGATAGCTACACACAATGAAAGACACAAAAATTAAAACACAATACCATTTTTAGGCTAGCAAACACCAGATATAAAGCTTGATCGTGTGAAGGCATGGAAAATTAGAGGCTCTCTTGTCACATTATCTTAGTGAAACTATAACCTGGAGCATGACCTCTTAGAACAGTTGATGACAGGAACTAAGGCTGAAAATTCGCTTACTCTTTAATGAACACAGGCGTTTACATCTAGAAGTGCTTGTCAATGAATGCAAATGTTTGTCTATAGAGACATTTGCTCCAGATTGCTTTTGGTAAGAAAAGGCTGGAAATAGCCTGTATGGCCATCAAAAGATTGCAAGCACCATGGCACAGTCACTTGAGGAAATATCCAGCAGTCACATTTTTTTAAAAAGAAGCAAATTTGTAGGTACTAATATGGAGGCTCTATTCATCAGTGTAGTTGGTGGGGAGCAGCCGGAAGCAATGGTGGAATGGTGTCTCCCTTAGTGCTTGTTAAGGTGCCCGTGTGTAAGAGACAGACAGAGAAAGTCTGTCTACAGACCACCTAGGGTAGGATGCACACAGGACATATCGAGCCAGCAATGGGACAGAAAATGAGGATGGGAAGTCAGGGATGGAAAAAAATTCTTTTGTTCACTGTTTATTGTTCTTATATTTTCTTAGAAAACCTTTTCATGTACATATACTTTTAAGAAACATTTTAGGGCCAAAAAAAGAAAACCTTATGAAACTTAGACTATCAAAGAATGTGCTTAACTAGACAAATAGATGGAGGTACCTATCTGAAACCTAAGGTGAAAGTCAGGTTTCTTGGTATCACATTAAAAACAGCTCCATTAAATTCAGAAATAAAATTAAGATGTTCTCTATCTGTGATAATGTCAAAATTACACCTAGGTCCTTGCAATGCAATAATATATGTGGGGGGGGGCACACAAAAGTTAGATACAAAATTATCACTTTTGCTAAAGATTTAATTGTTTACATAGAAAATGCAGTTAAGAATCAAATGAGAAAGTGTTAGAACTTTATTATGTATTTATTAGAAGTTTAGTCAGATGAGCAAATAAAAGATTAATATACAGAGATCAATAGCTTTCTCACATACTAGCCAAAACCAATCTGAAAGTGCAACTTAAAAGAAAAAAGTTTTCACAATAGCATAAAGGTGCAAAAAGTGCAGGAATCAGCGTAGAAAAGCATGTAGACCTGTATGAGCAAAATGATACATTTCAGGGAAGATGCAAAATAAGATTAGAACAACTGGGGAGATTTGCACCTCAGTATAAACTTGTCTATTTTCCATAAATTAATACCTAAATTTAGGAAACTTCTTACAAAATTGGCAATGCATATTGTTTTACTTGACAAGCTTATTCTAAAACTCACCTGTAGGGAAAATATCCAAGAATAAACAAGAAAATTTTTGTGTAAAATAAGGCTGATCCTACTCAATTAATTGAAGGAAAATATAAACAGGCAACGTTTAGGAAAAGATACCTTCCCCAATAATTAACAAAATGCAGAATAAGATAATAACAAAGTGACTTTTCTTTGTCCTTAAGCATCTGAACTATGAGGGGAGAAAAGCAGAAACTCACAGATACTGTTGGTGGGAGTTTCATGGGCCAGTCTTTCCAAGGCAATTTGGCTGTGAACTTGAGCTGCACTTCCTATCCAATCCAGTATCACCAAACAGACACTGTCAGAGCCTGGCCCCAAGTGTGTGCAGACATGCACCCAAAGAATTATGCCTGACTCAAAAGGGCATTAGCAATTCAAATGCCATTAATAAGAAAATAATTTTTAAAATATAGTGTGCATCCTTACTTGGGGATGCAGTGCAGCTGTTTTTTTTTTTAGTCTATACTAATGCTGAAAAAACTCTTAGATACACAATGAAATATCAAAATAAATGTTTTATAGCAAATTTTAAATTTTATATATTTATGCACATATGTGATCATACATGCACAGAAGAAGAACAAGTGGTTGAATGACCTCTTGGGACAGGACAAGGATTGTGGACCTGGTACAGTCAGGGAGGCCTTTTGCTTCCTCTGTATTGTTTAGAAATTCAAAATGAAAATATAACCATGTATGAAGTAATTTTTTAAATTCCCCCCAAAGGTAAATGTAATCATCTTAAAGTTTCTTTACATGCCATATAGTTTTACATATCTTTATTTTATAAGGATTTGAATGTTTTTCAACCTTGTTAAAAGTGACAAAAGCATTTCAAAGATTAAATAGAAGTACTGGATCAGAAAACATCCACTTTTAGAATGTCTGATGAAACAGAAATATTATAAGACTCATCAAGAATCTTCTGGGAAGATTAGGGTTCTCGTGGCAAAATAGCCTTTTTGTCGATAGGGAACCTTATTTTTGGCTTCTTCTTCAAAAACTCTGCATAGCTTTGCTCTGGAATAAATTTAAAAGCACTCCATCTCTCGTTATAACGTCTTGGAAAGCGCCTGAAGCTGGACATCACCATGGCCTCCTTATACACATATGATATTTGGTTATTTGAAAAGCCATCGAGACGAGATGGGATGTAGTCACATGCCCAAAGATTGAAATTTCTAGAAGCATGTTGCCTTTTATCTGGGGAGATCTTCTTACGTCCCAGGCCCTGGGGAGGAATGATAACGTTAGGGGAAATATTTAAGGTCAAATAAGTTTTTTTGCTTTTGTTTTTTTGTGGTACTGGGGTTTGAACTCAGGGTTTACACCTTGAGCCACTTCACCAGCCCTTTTCTTTTCTTTCTTTCTTTCTTTTCTTTTTTTTGTGAAGGGTTTTTTTGACATAGGGTCTCTCTGCTTCCTGAGTAGCTAGGGGGATTACAGGTGTGAGCCATCGGCACCTGGCAAGGTCACATAGTTTTGAGGATTTACTAAAACCAGCTACACGACATATATGCCTTTATAAATGCACAAAATGACAACCATTACAAGAAGTCTCCTTGATCAGCCTGTTGAATTCCATAAATTGACATTCCATTCTTGGGCTGTTGTTACTGCCCTCGCACCTTGCAGTACCACCAAGGAGACTGGACTTTTAATGGAAGGCAAAACCTGAGAAAGCCCAGCCAGAAACAACCTAGTAACAGACCTCAACTCCCTTAACCCTGCACCTGTCCCTGGCTTCCTCCCAACCTCAGTGGACAGATGGCCCTCTCCCTGAGAAGCCAGGAGGGAGACTGAATTCTTCCCGACCCCCTGGCTCCCCTGAAGGAAGCGGGATTGTGGGCTCTGCCCACAGGCTTGCCCATTGTGTCTTGGCCCCTCATAAGCAGACCCGAGAATGACTCTGTGTTCAAACTTGTACATTTGATTTCATCACAAGTAGGTGGAAACTAAGAAAGAAGACACGTAGACACAAAGGACTTAAAGGAAATCGACCTTGGGTGACACAGACTTTGCACCAGTAAAGTGGGGCGGTCTGTGCAGGTGGACCAGTACTAGCTGGGTTCACCAATGGTGCACTTAAATTAGGATGAGTTGATGGATGCAGCTCCTGCATCTGTATTCTTGGGTTCAACCAACCTTGGATGCAATGAACAGTGGCTCAAAAATATTTTTTAAAGATTGCTTCTGTACAGAACACGTATAGACATTTCTTCCTTGACAAGGAGAAAGTCAATGCAGTGACACTCTTTACACAGCATTTACACTGTCTGAGGTATTATAAGTAATCTTAAAATGATTTAAAATACGTGGGAGAATGTGCATAGGTCCTATGCAGACACTATACCATCTTTCACGAGGGACCTGAGCATCTGCTGTTTTGGGTATCCCAGGGGAGATCCTGGAATGAATCCCCGTGGATACGGAGGGATGGTTGTGTTTACACATGTGTAGCCTGTAGGAAAACCCCAAGGGCATCTCCACATATCATCCTGTGGGACCAGGGCAGGGAGGAAAGGGGGAGGGCAGCTCTGGAGGGACAGACAGAAGATGCCAGGCACACTGTCCAAGCACCTTTCTAAAAGGTTCCTTGAGGATACTCCAGCACAACGAAAAGAAACCAAAGGAAGAACAAAATGAGTAGGGCAGTAGGCAGAACTTATAATTAAGGTCAAATACTTGCTGAGAGAGACAACATCAACAACTGAAATTGCAAGATTTTTAACTGGACTTGAGAGGCCACGGCCACTGATCTGAGCTCCAGGTAGAAGACCCGGAGTGGCACCTCCACGGCTGACAGAAGCCAGGGCCACCAACATGACAGCCCTAGGAAGGGAAGTGTGGAGGAAAAACACTCTGAAGGACTTGCCTTCTCCTTGGGAAAAAGCTGTAGGTATTAATTTTTATGTTCAGAGAGTAATATGGTATTAATGTTCTTCTTAAATACTAGAGAGTAATTACTAGGAGAGTATCAACAGAAATCAGAGTAAATAAATAAATTCAGCCAGTGTAGCAAAGCTGGAAGAACAAGAAGAAAGATGTAAAATGTAAATAATATAAATAAGAAATAGAAATAGAAATAACAGAAATAAAACCAAAACCATAAATTGTTATCATGGATTGTGTGAATGGCTTAAATTCATATATAAAGAAACACTGGACATTAGATCAAGGGCAAACACAACAAGGGGATTGGACTTTGAGCACATGATAAAAGCGAGAGCACACAAGGGAGGGGTGAGGATAGGTAAGACACCTAAAAAACTAGCTAGCATTTGTTGCCCTTAACGCAGAGAAACTAAAACAGATACCTTAAAAGCAACTGAGGTCAATAGGAAAAGGGGACCAGGAACTAGAGAAAAGCCTAGATCAAAAAAAAAGAATTAACCTAGAAGGTAACACACATGCACAGGAAATTAATGTGAGTCAACTCCCTGTATAGCTATCCTTATCTCAACCAGCAAAAACCCTTGTTCCTTCCTATTATTGCTTATACTCTCTCTTCAACAAAATTAGAAATAAGGGCAAAATAGTTTCTGCTGGGTATTGAGGGGTTGGGGGGGAGAGGGAGGGGGTGGAGTGGGTGGTAAGGGAGGGGGTGGGGGCAGGGGGGAGAAATGACCCAAGCATTGTATGCACATATGAATAATAAAACAATAAAAATTAAAAAAAAACAATGACTCTTAGATTTTTTTCTGAACTATGCTTCATTCTATTTATAACAGAGGAAAAACCCAAAGCAAAATAACTAAAAATTATGAAGACAAGGGAGTAGACAAAAAGGATCTAGTGGCAATGCTAACAAGTAGAATTCACAACTAAAAGCATTAAAGTGTATAATAACCAGGCTTGTGCATGTCTGTAATCCAAAGTACTCAAGAGGTGGCAGCAGGAGGATCACAGGTTCAAGGCCAGGCAAACATGAACTGAAGGGCAGGAATAGGGCTCAAGTGGTAGAGGCCCTGGGTTCAATCACCAGTGTCAAAAAATAAACTCATTTAAGCATATAAAGAGAAATACTTCATATTATTAAATGGCAAAAGCCACCAAGGAAACAATCATGAGTTTTTATGCAGAAAGACATAGTATTAAACAATGTAAAAGAAAAAAAATGTTTAGAAATTCAAGGACAACCTTAGAAACAGAAACTAATAAAGCAACACAAAAAATAGGAAAAGAATAAGAAATACTTCGGTAACATTTGTAACGGTCCTGAATCAATAAATTTAAAGATTATAATAAAGGGGAGACTATGTGTTCTTTTTAAACTCCAGTGAAACTCTCCAAAATTAATTACATACAAAGATAACCTCTGTAACTCAAAAGTCCAAAATCACAGAACACAGCTATAGAAGTTTCTTTAACGTAAAAACTAGATTATTACCAACAAATAGATGGCCTCTAAAAATCTAGGCATATATAGAATTCAAAACATTCTTCCAAATATCTCTTGACTTAAAGAGTTAAAAATTAAATATGAACTATTGAGAAGCAAATAATAGTGAATAATGATACCTTAGTAGAAAAACCTTTGCAATGTAGTAAAAGCAATAATTTGGAGTATTCATAGTTTTAATAAATTTATTAACAAAATTTACAACATTTGAACTAAACATTCAGCACTGTTTAAAGGACAGCAAATATTTGAAGAAGGAAAATGTTAAAGAACAAAATAAGAGTATGTCAGTAAATTTGATGATGTAAATGTATACAAAAGGAGAGAGAACATTTGAATAGATTAATAATTAAGAAGAAATGGAAAAGGCAATCAAAAAAAAAAAAACTTACTCCACCAAAGGTACAAACCTAAGTAATTTCATGGGCAATTTTTTTTGTAGTGCTAAGGATCAAACCCAGAACCTTCGTCATAGTAGGCAAGTACTGTAACCACTGAGCTCCTGAGCTATCCCCAGCTCCATGGGCAAATTCTACTTAACCTTCACGAAGCCGAAAATCCAAATGTTATGTCAACTCTTCCAGAACACAGAGGAAGTTGGAAATCTTCCAGTGCTTTCTATAAGGCTCTCATAACTCCAGTAAGGTACAGGTGGTAACAAGATGTGCACTTGTGTGTATGTGTCTGTGTGTATGTCTGTATGTTTGTCTGTGTGTCTGTATGTCTGTGTGTGTCTGTGTGCATGTCTGTGTGTGTCTGTATGTCTGTGTGTCTGTGTATGTGTGTGTCTGCATGTCTGTGTGTGTATGTGTGTGTCTGTATGTCTGTGTGTCTGTGTGTGTCTGTATGTCTCTGTGTCTGTCTGTATGTCTATATATGTCTGTCTGTGTGTCTGTGTCTCTGTGTGTGTGTCTATATGTGTGTGTCTGTATTTGTGTCTTTCTGTGTGTGTATGTGTCTGTATGTCTGTGTGTGTCTATGTATGTGTGTATGTGTCTGTGTGTCTGTGTGTCTGTGTGTCGGTATGTGTCTGTGTGTGTGTGTCTATGTCTGTCTGTCTGTCTGTGTGTCTATGTGTGTTACAAAACATTCTCAAACTTTACCCACTAAACTACTATGAGCAGTGAATCATCAAGGTGTGATTGTGAGGAGGGAAAATAGGTGTGGATTTTATTGACAATTTTATAAAATTCTGTATTATTTGGGCTTTTAAAGGATATGGTACCTTGGTAACTTAGAACACATATTAGACACTCCTTTTGGAGAGGCAGGCAGCATGGACATTCTGGTTCTGTATTCAATAGTCAGTCAGAAGAAAGCCAGATTTTTCTGGTTAAGCTTCTTAGGTTTACTTAGGACATTGTAGCGGGGAGAAAAGGGTAGCTTTTGACAGGTAGATTAACTTCTCTGGTTCTCAGTTTTCTTGTTTCTAAATTGAGAATAAGTGAACTTAGCTCAGCTGGGTGTGGTGGGGCATCCCTGCAATCCCAGACACTAGGGAGGAAGGAGGAGCATAAGGTGGAAGGCGGCGCAGGGGAGGATAGTGGAGACATTCTATCTCAAAAACAGAAAAGTTAACATTATAGACCAATTTCTTTGATGAACACAGATACAAAAATTCTCAATAAAATACTTGCAAATCGAATTCTACAACTCATTGAAAAGCTCATACATCCTCGTTCAGCATACACAAATCAATAGCATAATACAGCACATAAACAGAATCCAGAACAAAACCCACATAAAAATCCCTATAGACGCAGAGAAAGCCTTTGACAAAGTGTAACATGCTTTCATGATAAAAGCTCTGAAGAAACTAGGAATAGAAGGAGTGTACCTCAACATAATAAAGGCTACATATGACAAACCTAGGCCAACATCATGCTAAATGGGGAAAAGTTGAAGCCATTTCTTCTAAAGTCAGGAGTTTAAGAGATTAAAATAGAGGGCGAATCTGATCAAAATACATTGTACACATCTGCGGACAAGGATGTCCACTCTCCCCACTCTTATTCAATACAGAGCTTGAATTCTTAGCCAGAGCAATAAGGCAAAAGAAGAAAATAAAGAGGATATACATAAGAAAGGAAGAAGTCAAGTAATCCATATTTGCAGGTGATCTGATCCTATACTTAAAAGACTTTAAAGACTCCACCAAAAATTTCCTAGTTCTGATAAACTTTTTTGGCAAAGTAGTAAGATATAAAATCAACATACAAAAAAAATCAATGGCTTTTCTATATACCAACAATGAACAGACTGAGAAAAAAGACAGGAAAACAATCTTATTCACAATATACTCACAAAAATAAAATGCCTATAAATAAACTTAACCAAGGATGTGAAAGACATCTACAATGAAAACTATAAAACCTTGAAAAAAAATTAAAGAAAACACAGAAGATGTAAAGACTTCCCATGTTCATGGATTGGCAGAAACCTATACTACAGATTAAATGCAGTTCCCATCAAAATTCCAATGTCATTCTTCACAGAAATAGAAAAATCAATCCTAAAATTCATAAACGACCCCAAATAGCAAAAGCAACCCTGAGCAAAAAGAACAACACTGGAAGTATCACAATACTGGACTTTAAATTATATTACAGAGCCATAGTAATGAAAACAGACATGTAGACCAATAGAATCAAATAGAAGACCCAGAAATAAGCCCACACAGCTTCAGCTACCTGATTTCTCATAAAGGAGCAAAAAACATATGTTGAAGAAAAGACAGGCTCTTCAACAAATGATGCTGGGAAAACTGGATATCCACATTTATAAAACTGAAACTAGACTCCCATCTCTCATCTTGTATAAAAAATCAATTCAAAATGGATCAAAAAATCTTAATCTAGGACCTGAAACTTTGAAACTACTGCAGGAAAACACTAGAAGATATAGATACAGGCCATTATTGTCTGAACAGGACTCCAATTGCCCAGGAAATAAGAGCAAGAATTGACAAATGGGTTTGCATTGAATTAAAAGGCTTCTCAGGACACATCACAGGAAACAATTGCCAGAATGAAGACAGAACCCGCAGAATAGGAGCAAAATCTTTGCAAGCTCTTCAACGGATAACCAGAATATACAAAGAGCTCAAAAAACTGAACACCAAAAGAACAAATGACCTAATTACTACATGAGCAGATTAATGGAAGGGACAGTTCTCAGAAGAAGTACAAATGGCTAATAAAGACATGAAGAAATGTTCAACATCCTCAGCCATAAAGGAAATTCGAAACAAAACAACACTGAGAGTCCATCTCACCCCATTCAGAATGGCTGTCTTCAAGAATCAAACACCAAATGCTGGCAAGTATGAAGGGAAAAAAAGGAACCTTATACACTGTCGGTGAGAATGTAAATTAGTGCAACCACTGTGAAATCAACATGGAGGTTCACCAATAAACTAAAACTAGATCAACCTTGTGACTCTGCTAAACCACACTTGGGCATACATCCAAAGGAGTGTAAGCCAACCCACAACAGAGACACCTGCACAGCCATGTTTATTGCAGCACTGTTCACAATAGCCAAACTATGGAATCTGCCTAGGCACCCAACAACCAATGAACGGATAAAGAAAATGTGGTATACATAGACAATCGAGTTTTATTCAGTCATAAAGAGTGAAATTGTGTCATTTGCAAGAAAATGGATGGAACTGGAGATTCTCATGCTGAGCAAGATAATATTAACTCAAAAAGCCAAATGTCACATGTTTTCACTCATACGAGGGTCTGGACCTAAAATGATGACGATGGTGATGGAGCATGAGCATCAGGTGGGGGACTGTCTGGGGGGATCAGCAGGAGGAGGAGGGGAAAGGAGACAGTACTGGGAGTAAACATGATCAAAGTATATAGCATAATGAAACCCACTCAACATTATTTGAAAAGGGTGGGGGAAGCAGGGAAGGAGTTAAGGGAGTAAAATAGAGGTGAATTTGATCAAAATACATTGTACACATCTATGGAAATATCGTAATAAAACCCCTTTGTACAGCTAATATACATTAATAAAAAAAGAAATGGTTAATGTCCACAACAGTCAGAGCCTACAAAAAGTGGAAGGGGGAAAGCAAGTGGAAAAGGGAGAGAGAGAGAGAGAAAAAGAAAGAAACGAAGGAAGGAAGGAGGGAGGGAGGGAAGGAGTGAAGGAAGGATAAAAGAGAAAGAAAAAGTCTGGGGAGGTAGCTCAAGTAGTAGAGTGCTTGCCTAGCATTTGCAAGACCCTGGGCTTCATCCCCAGCACTGCAAAAACAAAAACAAAAGAGTAATTAGCCCATAAGTTTGCTGTGGGGATTCAATGAGACAGTATGAAGTGGGTATTGCCAATGTCACACCATTGTTATCATGGACTTTCAGGTTTGGTGGAGATTCCCAGAGCTCACCTGACACAACCTACAATACTAACCCTGCAATGTCCAGTGAGGTGGCCACCAGCCACAGTAACTACTGAGCACTTGAGATGAGACTCATCTAAATCAAGATGTGTAAAGTACAAAGTAGATTTTAAAGACTTAGCTTGGAAAAACAAATGGAAAATATTTCAGTTATAATACCTGGATTACATGTTGAATTGATAATTTGGAGGAAATATCAGGTTACATAAAATGTGCAAATGCTCCTTGACTTCTATCCCGCTCAACCCTTTGGAAGTTGAAAATATCCGAAGTCAAAAATGCATGTAGGGCTACATCTGTATTCTCAACCATGCAGGAAGTGGAGGTAGGAGGATTGAGGTCTGCAGATGGTCCAGGCAAAAGTGCGAGGCCCTAACTGAGAAATAACTAAAGCAAAAAGGGCTGGTGTGTGTCTCAAGTGGTAGAGAGCACTTGCCCAGAAAGCACAAGGCCTTGAGTTCAAACCCCACTACCGCAAAAAAGTAAAAAGCTTCTAATACACCTAACCTCCTCCACCAACACAGTACCCTGTAAAGTGCTCAGTGTTTCACGATTGCAAGAGAGGAGGACATCATTGTGTCTTCCACCACATTCCATAGAGTCAAAAAACTGTGACTCGCACCACCTAAGGAGAGCATCTGTATGATTCGTTTTGCAGCTTCTTTTACTTAACGCAATGACTGGAGAAATTAAATTACACATGCAGTTCTCACTGCATTTCTGTTGCAGTGCTATGTAAACCCCCCGCTAATAAATGCCATGAGACTTCAAGTTCTCCAGCCATGGGGAACTTGCACATCAAGAGGACAAGTAACTGTAGTTCTTAGATAGTCATCCCTTATGTCACCGAGCTCTCCCTGTGACCCCACCTCGGAGTCCTGGCTCTGCCATCCAGAGACATGCACAGCCCTCCTTCCCAGAACAATCTTTACAAGGATGCTCACAAAAGATAATTTACAGAAAGGGACTTTGTAATCGTGAGGTGCACATTAATGGTGGCAGATGGTTGGTGCAGACTTTGGAAGATGCATGCCACCTTGAGGGCTTCCAGAGGAGGTTTTTGTGCTATAGCCTGCTGTAAGCCTGGTTTAAGACCCTGATTTGTTTTGACCTTGTTCCAGCTTTGTTGTCAGTTGTCTATATTCTATGCACCTCAGAAAATCAAAAGACCTGATATTGCTCCCTATTTTATCAGTTTTCTTCCCCTCACCCCAGTGTTTGGGATTGAACCCAGGGTCTCATGCTTGCTAGGCAAGTGATTTTCCACTGAGCTACACGCCAGCCCCTAATAATTAGGAAAGACGTACTCACGGAGTCAAGGTAGTATCCACAGTCCTCAAAACTGTGGCGGTTGTCGTGCACAGAGAAGGGGAAGCTGTGGTTAACTGCTTGCTGGAGAAAAGCAAGGGGGGAGATGAAAAAAGGTGCATGTCAGAGCTGCCCAATGCTTCCAGAACTGGGGTACAGTGACTGGGAGGGAAGAGGGATGGGCCAAGTCTACCTCCCAGGAAAACGTTTAAACCATTACCAAGTGGAGTGCACCCCACAGGATGAGGGGTGCAGGTGCACGTGACAGCTTAGGGCTTTGAAAATCAGAAAAAATCTCTTTCAGAATACCTCCTCTGGAAGCAAGGGTAGAAAAGTGTAGGGCCCCATAGAACCCAAAGCTGAAAAGGACTTTGAGTCCCCCCAGGGCCACCCTCTTTGTCTGACTGATAAGGGTCCCCAGAGCCCAGAGCCTAGGCCCAGGTCCAGGGTGAGTTTGGCAGGTGTAAAGTCCACACTGCCCTTCTTTCAAGGCACCTCGAAGTTGCTTGTGATTGACCTCAGAGGCAGAAGTGGGTGATAATGACCCGAGAGTGTGACCAGAAGTGCCTATGAAGGGGCCTGGCTTGCCATCTGGACCAGGAGGTAGCTCCCTCCACAGAGGATTTGAACCTGAGACAGGGATGGCAAATGGGCAGTTCCTTACAAGGAAGAGCCTTTCAGCTAAAATGCTACATGCCACCCTCTCGGAAAGCCACAGGAACCTGTAGCTGGGGCCCCCAACCCCTTCTCACCTTCTCCTGGACCTTGTATATTGGTGGCAGCTTCCCCTCCACTTGCCCAGACAAACGTGGACAGTGGGACTCTTTTAATGCTGTGCTCGTGATGGATTCTGGTGTCCTCTGTGTTAGTCCAATGTGAGGGAACTGGAAAACAGCACAGTCCTGATTAGAACCAGGCACGTCCGAATCTCTAAGCCAAAGATCTGGGCTTCCTCTGCAAAGTGATTAAAATGCAGTTCTGATGTTTCTGGCATGTGATGGGGAGGACACCATCTTTGTCATTTTCAAATATTCTTCACAAGACACTTGAAGTAGTTGCTTCAAACTTGCAGGGGCCAATTGTACCAGCCCAGGTGAGCCTAGAAATGTCTCTACAGCCTGGAAAGAAGGACACACCCTACTGAGAGCAAGTGGAGGTACTGGGAGAAGGCAGAAATCTGAGGCCTTCCTCTGGCCAGGGAGCCCTGGCATTTGGCCCTAGCATGCACCTTACGTTCACAGGGATGGGCTGGCCTCCAGCAATGAAGGGATGGTGTGCGGCCCTAAAACCAGGGCAAGTGAGGAGCAGGAGCACACAGACTCTCCAGTAACACAGGGAAGCATAAGAGAAATCTGGAAGGAGCAAGAGCGGTCAGGAGGGAATGCAGCAAAAGCAGTGAGGACAAGCAAGATTGCTTGGGGTGCCCCAAGGGTCCCCCTACAAAAGGGAAGAAAGGAAACAGAGCCAAGCAGAGGTTGGTGGTCCCAATAAGAGCCTCAACTGACACTTTGGGGAGCTCTGAGCATGGTATGGCACTCTGAGTTGTCCATGGAGTTTGGGGACCTGGTCTTTGTGCTTAGATGGATTACTGAGCTGCTCCAGGAAAGGGAGGGACCCTGAGAAGGCCTGTCTCTTCAACCTTGGGATCTGTTGGGGAGAGTGCTTGTCTAGCAAGCATGAGGCCTTGAGTTCAAACCCCAGTAACCAAAAAAAAGAAAAAAAAAATACTAGCCCTTCAAAGTAAACTTTGGAGCAGAGATTTCTAGGAAAGAACTAGTTTCAGGAAACTGAAACCAACAAAAGACATGCCCAACTCTTGTGAGAATTCCCACAAAGGGAGAAAGAGACCTCGTACAGTGTCAATGGTCCTGGCTGTCCATTCAGAGATCCTGAGTCTATGCACAGCCCTCTTTCCTGCAAGGTGAGTCTTGTACAAAGGACTTAACTTTTCCAAGCCTGGGCTTTTTTGTCTGCAGAAAGGGAATAATAACACCTGCCTGACAGGGTAGATTTCATTCAAAAGATACCAAGTGCCACATAGTGCTCGGTAACTACTGGCAGGCTCTAGTTTGATCACAGTTGTCCCCTCCCTAGCCTCAAATCCATTGCCTCACCTTAGAACCCTTTGGGGACCTCTGGGCATGTTTCCTTGCTTCCCTTTCACAGTATGACACTGGCCAACTCTGTGACCTACCCCCCAAGTCACAATCCAGATGGTTTCTGATTGATGGCTTCACAAGAGTGTGTTTAGTGGGGAGATTGTTTGTGAGTGTATATGTGTGGGGAGCACTCTCTGCAGCCAGGAGAAGCTAGAAGACACATAGCAATGGGTAGATCTTTTAAATGAAGTGTGGATGGTAGGGAAGAAACAGCACCGTTTGTGTGAATAAATAATCCATGCACACCAGGCAATGGACAGTGTACGGGAGCACATCAAAATGAAAGAACTAGCGTTTAACACATTCAGATGGTTGTCTCAGAAGCCCCATGCTTTGTGTGTGCAGCTGCCCCTGAGGATGGAGGACAGGTGGCGAACTGGCGAGGAGCACCAGGGAAGGAGGAACTTTCTTCCCACTGACTACCACTGTGGTAGTTTCTGAACTAAGCAAGTCATTTTGTTTTTTTTGCAAAAAGGATTAATATATTTGATTCTGATGAGAGTTGTAATATATACTACTCGTTTAAAAAATCTGAATAATAAAGAAAAACATAGCAAAAGAAATAAAATGCCCCCCGGAATCCAATTGCCCTTTCCCTAACACTTTAGAGGCGACTCTTTCATTTATCCCTACGTGGATGTATGTCCATATAGATGGGTAATTTTGTATACATAATACAAATGTATACAAAATTAGTAATATGGCAATTAAAAGACATTGACAGTTTGGGGGGAAATTTTGAAATACCTTTTTATTATCAGCGGCCACACTCTTTGTGGCCTTCTTCCTTTCTTGTCACCTCCGTTGCCACCTCCGATGACAATACTAACCACTGAACATGTGATCACATACAGATGTGTACCTGTTGAAGGGACTAATATGGCCCAACAAAAACGAGATTGTATCTTATTTACTTCTTCATACCGGGCTTTCCTCACCTAACAATTTATCCTGGAAATCTCTGTCAACTTGTATATAATTCATCCTAGATTCTATTTCAAAAGTGCTTCTAAATGATTGTTTTTAAAAGGAAGATACAAATAATTCAAGAGCTCCAGGTCATCACTTTCCCTTTGCCCTTCCTTTATCTGACTGGGTCATACCCATCTCAGGGAAAATTGGGCCAGTGGGGAGGCTGCTCTGACATCAGGAGTCGTGGCTCCCAGTAAAATGACAGCTGACTTTGAGTTAATTTGTATTCTGCAAGTCTATGAACGAAATTGCTGTTAAAAAAATGGCTCTAGCATTTTAATTTCACTCTTTTAAAATATATATTTAATGGCTATAACATGATAGCTGTGAAATAAACCCTTCTGTTAAGATATTGTAACCGTGAAATATAGCTTTTTAACTAGTTGGCGGTGAAATTTTTGCTGCATTCAATCACTCAATGACTGAAATATTAAATAGCAAAGTGAGAGTGTGTGGAAAAAAGCTTTCCTGCCCAGCAACAGCCAGATGACACCCAGCAAGGTCAACTACAAAATGACTGTCACCTCTAATGGGGCAATTACTGCCCTCCCCAACGGACTGCCGCTGACTCAAAGACAACCATTTCTTAATTTCCCCAACTCATCTCCAAGTTACTTTGGGAACTTCATGGTCAGCACTTTTTTTTTTTTTTTTTATGCTCTCAGGTGCTGACAGCAGGAAGGATTCGTGCCAGAGGCTCCAGTCAAACCTGGGGGGACAGTGCCCCTCCATCTGGGCTGTACTCCTCCTGTCTTCCAACTGGAGGACGAAACTTCTACCTATGGCAGGTGGATGCTCACTTTCTCTCTTAGAACAGCTTGACTTTGTTTGAAATGCCAGGGTGGGTGGCAAAAATGCCTCCCCAGACTGCCTTGCAGCTAAGTTGGCCACGTGACCCAACAAGCCAGAAGCACGGGTCTGCAAGAAAGGCCTCCTGGGAAAGCACTTATTTTCCTGATAAAATAAAAAGGGGTGGGGGAGTGGGGCAGCCTTAGAGGACGTTGTCTTCTGTCTTGTTCTTTGAGCTTCCTCTTATTTTCCTGTGCACTCTTGCATTCCCAGCCCTGTACTGCCAACCTCTCCAATTTATTGTTACCTGAGAAATATGAACCCCTACCTGATTAGAATCCTGTAGTCAGATTTTTATATCATTCAAACACAAATTCTAACTGTTATGTAGTTGACAGAAGGAAAGGAAGGTACTTAGGTTAAGAAACATATTTTTCTCTGCATGGGGCAATTAATATTACATACTTGACACTATTTTCCACTTAGTTGGGCTTCCAGGAAACTCAGAGTCAAATTTTTGTAAAGTCATGGTCTTTTATTCTAATATAGATTGAAAGTGGTTATACATTTTTATTTTATTTATAATTTACTATTTTTTGTATGTGTTTTCCAGACATTATTCCCAGTCTTAGTGGAATGAAGTTGGGCATGCATTTTTGTGTATGTATACAAAGGCACACACACACACAAGAAATGTGTAATTGGCAAGTGTCGTCGCTATGTGCTCGTACTTCACACTCAGCACCTGAGTGAATAAGCGCGGTAAACCTCACTAACCTGGGTGCATTATGCTCCCATTTTACAGGCAAAGAAACTGAGATCAGACTAAGCTCTTTCGCCTAAGTCCAAGGTTAGGTACACGTGGGTGCAATCAGTGTTTGGTTTTTTTTTAACATCCTAAAGACCGGAATTTGCAAAAGTCATTTCCATTTTCCTTTTACACAAAAAATTTAGCAGTTTTCTGTGTCTTGCTGCCTGATAGAGGTGAATGCCAGCTTTTCTCAGATTCTGCCTGGGGTCATGAGTATGGAAGAGGATACAGACAGCTCTCTGCTGTTGTGGTCTTTTGTGAGTGAGTTTCAGAAGTATTAAAAATGGAAAACCCTTGTCAGTGCACGACAGGTATGTACTGAAGAGCAAGTGAGAGAAGCTAGGCTAAGACCTCACGCTGAGGAAGGACCCGGATGTTATACCCCACTGGGCTTTGTAAGTGATATCCACACTGGGGGCTGGGGTTTTGGGGCCAGCTCAGGCAACACCATGTGACCCAATCTCTTAATTAGAGTGGCCTGGGGAAGCATGTGAGCTGGGGAGGGAAGTTTCCCAGGGACAGAGGTGAGTAAACAATGCCTTCCTGGACTCTGTCCACTCCATAGTCTGAAGGAGTTGAGGGAATCAGATGACTGGGTGGCAGGAATTTGTTTAGAGGTTTCTAGTAGAATGATAATTATACTAGGTAATTCTTTGGACAAACATTTAGTGAGTGTGCACTATGCACGCCTACTCTAGGCGCTGGGGAAACCACTGAGTAAAACCAGACAAAGGTCCAGCCTTCGTGACGCTTATGTTCTAAGAAGGAGAGACAAAGAATGCGCACAATATAGTAAGATATTTAGAGCGTTTGAAGATCAGAGTTCTGGAAAACTCAAAAGGGAGAGCAGGTCGCAATGGCGCCCACATGGGGTTGAGCATTTTCCTTGCAGTATTCCACTCAGTTCTCCCAAAAGTGCTGAGTCCCACTCACAGCTGAAGGAGCTGAGACCAAGGGAAAGGACTTGTCACAGGTCCTGCCTCCGTGGACAGCACTGAACTCGGTTCTGCACCCTTGACCATAGCCACATGGTACAAGAAAACTTCCAGAGGGTGCCATCTTCCTTACCCATCTTCCGTCCTTGTCTAAAGTGGGATTGAAGCGTCTCCCCTTGGCCATTCTCTCCAGGAAGCTGATGGTGGCTGAGGCTGGCTCCCTCACCTCCCCATGGCCTCTGAAGCTCTACACTTTGGGAGAGCCGCTCTTCCTCCTTCCTTGTTCCTGATCTTTACTTCTCAGCAGAAGGGAAGGGGAGGGGAAGTCAGGGGCACCCATTGTTGTCATGGAATGAGCCCACCATCACAATGGGCAGAGGAGTCTTCTAAGAGCCGGAGGATTCCTGCCACTTGGCAGCTGAGGTTCTCCAAAGTATGGGGCAGAGAAACACCAGGGTCCAGCTGAGGATGTCCCAGGAGCAGGATGGAGAGGTGATGACAAGGCAGTCTTAGGATAATGGCAGATGTTTTACAACCTCTAAATCCTGAAACCAGTATTTGCTTTGATGTATCCATGGTAACTCTCCGTCCTAACCTCTTAGTTTTCAGAGAGGTAAACTGAGTCCTGGGCTGGGGTGTCCTTGTCCACACCTGTAGTGCTTCTGCCCCAAGACCCAAGCCTCTCTCTGTCTCTTCCATAACTCAGACCCAACTACAGGACATACTAACAGGTACTCTCACTTGCCTGGCACAACCTGAAGGCCACAAGGTTGTAGTGTTCATGCCAGATGCTGTGCTAAACTAAACACAGTGTTTTTATTTATTTATTCTCCATGACAACCTTCAACAATGACAAATTAGAAAAGGAGGGTTACACAGCCCAAGAACAGGACACTGAAAGTAAAACCAAGGTCATGGGACAGTTCCAGAGCTCGGGAGCCAAGGGCCACCTGGCCTCCCTGAAGTTGTGAAAGCCGCTTCTGAAATCTGGCTTTTCTACCTGGGCCTGGGGACACTAGTTCTGCCTCCCTCCTGTTCAGTAGCATGCGCTCGCTGGTGAATGAGAGAGCATTCTCCTTTGGTGAATGCAGTCCAGCCAACTGTCTCAGCTGTCCCAGGTGATGGTCAGTGAACATTCACAGGAGAAATCTGTCCAGTTCTCTCATGTGCTAAGAAATCATGTCCTCAACCCCTGCCCAGCCCCCAAATCATCTCCCTAGTTTCTAATGAGAGTTTCCACGGCAGTGTTGGGACCTCATTCTCTGCCAGCATCTGTGATCCAGGCATGGCTCCCGGATGTGATGCCAGAGGGCCCACACTTCTGCTGTAGCTGTGACACAAAAGTCACATGCTAAGGAGGAGAAAATGGGTCACGTGCTGTGCTAGGCACCACTGTGTTAACCCCAGCCAGGCAATCCTGCCATGGGGATGACACACCCTTCCTGGGGTGCTGCCACTTGCTGCTAACAGCCCCAGGGCAGCTTGTCAAGTATCTCTTCAGCATCCCCAGGGGCTGCCACCTCCACTGTAAGGAGTGGGACGTATACACATTTCAGCAGCTATTACACAAGAGAGGCCTACTGTTCTGCAACCTGGCTAAGATTGTGTATGGATTAGGATCCAGTTTAAACCTCACAACACAGAGGTTTAAATCCAATATATATTGATTTGCTCTCTGTCCAGGTTCAATGTGACAGCTCTGCCAGGCAGGGTCCTTAGAGACAGGGCTCTTGTGGTCCCATATGTGGCACCTGACTCCAGGCAGCACAGTGAGGAAGGGAAGGAGGGAAAGGATAGGTCCCATGTTTTATCTTGTCCAATCCTATCCCCTTGCTTCATGACACACACCTGTCATTGGCCCAGCTGCCTCCTTCCAAGAAAGGTTCTGGAGAGCTGCCACACAGCATGTCCTTTCATGGCCACATGACCACACTTTGCTTCAGAGGGCTCTAGGAAACAGGATTTGTGCAGGTGAGGTCATTATCCAACTGAAAGTTCCAACTCCAGAGAAGACACAGTGAGCCAATATCAAAGGCCAGCCCAGAGGCTGGTGGGTGCTCTCTGATCTTTCATTTGAATTTTCTTGCGTTCTAACGAGGACAAGCCTCCCTTCCTCCCTTGTAGCACAAGTTAGCAGTGCAGCAAAGCAGGACAAAGCATGCTATCTACTTCTCAGCATTGTGGTGACATGGGACCTTGGGAAATACTTTGTAAAGTCTGATTTACTTTGCAAAAACAAGGACTGACACATAGGAAAAGCACTTCAATATTTACTAAGTACTTTCATATTCATCGTTTTAAATAACTTTCACCTCAACCCTAAGAGATGTGCTGGTGGTTTCCCTTTTGTCATACTGCTCTGTCATTCCTTTGCTATCCATTCCTACCCTGGTCTGTACCCTGGAGTCTGACCTATAAAGACTGCGTCACCTACTCCCTTACCCTTCAGCTCTGGTTGGATTTATCCGTATCAATGGGAACTGGAGGGGCAGGAGGATATAGGTCAAAACACCAGTATGTTGGTAACCAGATCTTCAGATGGAGTTTGCCAATTTCCATGGTGTAAATGTTCCATCATGGTGGATTTCAAGCTACTGATAGCACTGAACATGGAGTTTGGAAGATCTGTGCACAACAGACTCTTAATACAGCACTGGGTCAAATTGCTGACCTCCCAGGCTCCATCCCTACCAGCCCATTATCTAGAAGGAGGGAGTTCTGCCACATCTGCCGCTCCTTTTGCCCTTCCCTCACAGCCACAGCTCTCGCTGTTGATGCCCTGGCCCTGCCCCTCTGGCCCAGGGGTGGACAGGCCTCCTGCTCTTGCTGGTCCTGAGCTGTGCCAGCCCTTGTCACTTCCTGTGACCCTGCCCACAGCTCTGAGAAGAGACCCTCCACTGAGTACTCTTCTGTCTTGGAGTGTCCCATAAGTCCCTCTGCTGAAACACAGATTGAAGCTAAAGCAGGTGTCAATAATTATCTCCACTTACAGATGATGAATCTCAGAGAAGTGATGTGACTCAGCCACAGTCACACAGCTAGTGACAGAACCCAAACTAGAACCCACATGTACTGAGGCCAAGTTCAATGCCAGCATCAAATGGGGTTTATTTGCTCCAGTTCCCCTTAGATTCCTGGGAAGTGATCTTACAAGAGGATTTCTTCCTGTTAATTCTGCTTCTGTTTTGTTGTTGTTTTGGTTTTGGTTTTGAGACAGGATCTTGCTATGTAGCCCAGGCTAGCCTTAAATTCTTGATTCTTCTGCTTCAATTTCCTGAGTGCTGGCATTATAGATGTGTACCACCATGCCCAGCTTGTGATTCCCTTTCCTTAATCTACACAAAACAAGTCCTGTTTATATGCCTGAAGCATACTCACAGTCCCCTCTAAGGTGAGCTCTGTAGCCAGGGCAAGAGTTCTGTTGAATGACTGACATCCTGCTGGGTCCTCAGCAGTGGGAGCAGAGCAGGGAGGCATCTCAGAAATGAAGGTCATGGAGCAATGCATCTGGTGCTCTCCTGGACCTGAATGTTGACAGTAGTCAGTGAGGGGGAAGAAGCCATAGACCTAGAACTTACGGTGGCATTTCCAACAGTGTTTCATGGACATTTGCTTTGTCTCCAGCAATGGAGCAGAAAACCTCATTTTTAAATATATTGTACACCTGCTCCATGTTTACTCTACGCTCTGTTGAACAAACACTGATTAAGGAACATTCTGATTTCCCCCTTTGAATGTCTGTTAAAACTCCTAACACATTTGTCCAAGATAAATCAAAGCTGAGTAAAGAAAACAGCACAGGAAAATGAAATTAAATTTTTCCTTCAGCTAGGATTTCTCAGTCATAGATTAGGGTAGCGCCGTTTGGTGGTGGTGTTATTTTCAGAGGTTTGAGTTACCAGCTGCACTTTGTGACCCGCCATTCTGAAAACATCCTGTAGCACTTGGTACTCAAAGCACTGAGGCTGAGAAGCCCAGAGGGTGGCACTCTGTCCTGCCTCTCACCTTTACATGGGCTGGGCTCTGCTCTGAATGTAGCAGTCCCAAATGGGCTACTAAGGAGTGTCTGTGAGAGCAGTACAAGTGTGTGGCAGGGTTTAATCTCTCCTTCCACAAATATTAATACCGATTCCTGTAGACCAGCACTATTTTTAGACAGTACAGAAGCAATCACCAAAAATCACGGCTTTAGCTGCATATCCAATGACCAGTAGCCCAAATTACTGATTAACCAAAAATTGTTTTCATCAAACTATCTCTAACATTTAAGTAAATTGATTCATCTAATGAATTTTTTCACGTAACAGTCTTTGAAGTTCAACTTTTTTACCTCCACAGTGTTAAGGCAGAGAGGCTCATCTCTTTCATGCATTTCTGTTCCTTGTTTTAATTAATGGCTTGCTGTCTTTTGCAAGAAACTGGTAAAATTATTGCAGCTCTGCAGGAATGTTTTCACCTGTGTGTGTACCTGCCCACTCTGTGAGTACATCCCAAAACGCTCAGATTCTGCACACAGGCATGCAGCAGTGTGTTGCTGTTACCAAATAAAGGTTTCGTTTTCCAGTTCACGCCCACAAACCCTGGCCAATTGAACGTGCACTTAGGGAAAGCCATTCCACTTGTGTGTAAAATGCTGATCATCTGAGAAAGTCTCAGATGTCTGAACTATACAGAATGTTTGTGTGTCATGCTGCAAGCGTGACTCTGGATCTCTTGCACATGTTAGGCAACTAGAGGTGACTTGACTGCGCTTGTTTTATTGTGATACGTGAGTCACATGGTGCCCAGCACATTTGCATAGCAACATGGAAAGCAGTCAGGCCTTGTAACATGAAGCAAACTTTCCAGTTTACCCTGTTGCAAATTCTCTGGTAAAATTAGCTGCAACTCTCTCTCCCACTCAATTCCTGGACCAAGACGAGGAGACTTTCTGAAAGACAAGAAGAATAAATTGATCAACCTGCAAGTTCCTTAAACGAGAAGTTAGAAACCCTACTGTAACATTTATAAATGCCCACCTGCATGTCACCCTGAAGTCAAACTCCATATGCTGCTGTCATTGTAATGACTGAGTTTTTGATGTCCTGGCTTCACCATGAATTGCTATATAAACTTTCTAGGACAGTTGTTGGTGGATTGCTAATTCGGAGAACTGATCACTCCAAGAAGTGCCAGGATCTAGCA